TGTTAGCTTTTAATAAGCAGGTGTATTTATTACTCTCATTTCTGTTTCTTTTTTTCAATGACTAAAAATTAAACCATATGATTTAGCCCCCAAAAAAATTGTATTATCATTCCAAGTTGTATTCTCCAATCAGTTACTTTTATATATATATAAAAAAGAATATGTAGAATTGATTTAAAACAATATTAAACATATTAGAAAGCTGTAAACTTCGTTTAATTGCAGTCTCGTTTTATTAACCTAAAATGAATTAAAAGCGACAATCAAATTATAATATTGTAATGCGGTGGAAATTAATGATTCATATTTTACCATAGACTTATTACGGTAAGAATATTAGTACCATTAGTGAATCATACCATACTATATTTCAGTATAGTTGCTGATGCCAGCTGAACTTGTTCAATATTTCAGTAACATTTCATTTCATTATAATATGACACAAAATATATATATTCTGTATAATTAAGAAATTAGATTTTAAAAATAGGAAGAAATTAAATGAAAGAGGTAAACGGGTAGCAAAGAAAACAAAAGTAATTGAGGTCGACATAAATCAAGATTCCCGGCCTCCTCTCACTCCAACAGTATTACAGCAACTGAGAAAAGGAGCGTTTTTGAACAGCCGGAGGGGATATTTTAAGGTAAGAGAAACAAAATAGACTATATTAAGATGGGACGAGGTTTCACGGAAGAAGGATGACAATTTGGGTGGCAAGGAGAGGGGATAATGAAGACGAGGCGAAAACGAGGTTAGAATGCCTTCTATGCGACAATCTCATCATTCTTTCTTGAACGAAATATTACTACCTATCACCACCGGTCTGATATCAAATTACCACATTCCTCTGAAGTTACGAAAATTCTCGATAACTCAACAGCTGATGGCAATTTAATCGAGTTGACAAAATCATCAAAACTCATGGATACCTTTTTGACAAATTTATAATCAAACAAATAGCAAATAATGACAAAAAACCTTTCTCTTGCATGGCTTAATTAACAATTTTACAACTTTGACTTTAACCCAATCATTTGGTATTTACTCTTCATTCTCCTCTTATTGATATACTTTGTCTCTTTTCAAAATTATCCCTTATTGCAAATGCAAGCAAATTAAAATGACATCAAGCTGTAAATTAAAATAACCATAAATTAAGTAAAATATAATATATATATATATAATGAATGGAAATCAAAAACTTGCACACAAAATTTATGCACTTTTTCAATACATAAAAAAACAATTAATGTAAAATAATGCAATTAGTTAACATAAGAGAAGGAAAAAAACACAAATATATTAGTGAAAACAAAAAAAAAAAAAAGGAACAAATGGCAAAAAAAAGGCACATCTAAGTGAGGGGGAGAGAGAAAAAAGGAGACAGAGAAAATTATCCATAAATTTTGAATAGTCAAAAAAAAAGAATCAGACTTTTTTTTTTTAAATATCAAGAAATCAATTGAAGAGAAAAAAACAAAAACGAAATAAATAACGAAATAAATTTGGGTCATCTAAAATTATCCGGATGATAACATATTGATTGGAAGAAAGAGTAACTAGTGGTTAGGAAAAAGAAAAATCAATTATCACAAAGATGTAAAGTAATCAAAGTAATTTATTTTTGATTACTTGTAAAGTAATCAGAAATAAAAACATGTAAAGCATTTTACAATTATCGCATTATCTTATCTCTCCTCCTATCCTAATCATATCGTATCATTCCGAGACTAATTTCAAACACAACAAACAAAGAGATACAATTCAATCTAATTTTATTATAACCAATGGTATATTATTATTGTTATTATAACTCAAAACATTCCAAATAACTTCAGAAATCCTTTATCATTACTTTTTTTTGCTTATTGATAATTTGAGTTATTCCTCAAATTTCACTGCCTTTTTCCCCTGCAATAACAAGAATAAATAAAATTTACTCCACCCTTATTTTCTAATTATAAATATTATTTTATCATCTTTATAGTATCCTTCTCATTCATTCCATTTGTTTCATTTCATTCATCATTTTTAAAATTACGTTCAAAAAAAAAAAAAAAAAAAACCAAGATAGTAAAAAAGGATATAAAATAGAATAAATGGTAAAATAAAAAAAAACTCCCTCATACCATCCAATCTACAAAATATATTTCACTAGCTTTGCTGTTTATTCATTTCAAAATAGTTTCTTTTTTTCTTCCCTCCTCCCTTCCCCCTCTCCACCTCTCTCCACCACCTCCTCTTCCTCTTCCATTCCTTCTCTTCCACACTTCTCTCTACTCTTTCATCCCTAAAACCATACCTTATCACAAAAGATAGTAGGAATGAGAAAGGAAAGGGCGCCATGCAAATTAATCGTATTCAGAAGGCAAGCATATCAACAATTTTCCCGACTTAGCTATAACAGTAAAAAGAAAAAACACATGGATAAAAAGGAGGTACGGAAAGCGAGAGAGAAACGATATAAGGGAGGAGGAAGAGAAGATGAACAGATAAAATAGAAGAACTACCTCACATTTATCTGGAATTTATTCCTGATAACAATTCAATCATTTATTTCAGTCCTTATCAATCTATCATTATCTCATTTATATTCATCACTGCTTTATTCCTTTCTTCCCCCTCTCTTTTCTTTTATCCTCTCTCCAAATAAAATCTCCCTTTATTTACTATCATTTTTTTTTCTCTCTCTAAAATATTCACTCCTCACAACTTCTTTCTTCCTTTTCCTCTCTCAACCCTTTCAATTCATTACCGAACTTTTATGATAAATGGTATTTTTCTAATCAAAAAAAAGAAACTATAAATATGACTAAAATTTCCCTATCTTCCTCTTTTCATTTTACCCCTTTTTCTCTCCCGCTTTCTTCCCTCTTTTCCTATCAATTTTGGTAATAAATAAAAATTCATTTAAATTAAAAAGAAATCTTTATCTGACTTTTCATAATCAGTGAAGGTTCGGTGTTCAAACCCTTCAATTAACCATTATCTTTTCAAAAAAAAAGATGAAAATGGGAGAAAGAAAAGAGATAGTTGGAAAAGGAATGAATCAGCTAGTTGCATTAAACAGCATAACACGGAATTTAATGCCATTTCATATTGAAATGAAAATTTCAAACCCTCCTTTGAAAATAGGCAAATGCAAAAAAAAAGCATCATCAAATTTGCACAAATAAAAATGTTCCATATCACACAGTTCACAATGAAAAACGCAAACAAACCTACACCTATACCTACACCTGTACCCACGCCTTTTACCCATACCTTTATTTATTCACATATACACAACTAAAATGAAGCAGAAGCCATAAAATCTCGTTCCTGATTCCATCACCATTATAATATACAGTTTTCCGGAAAAAAAAATTGTCCAATACAATAAAAAAATATTTAAACGAAAAAAAGACAAACTTTGGTGTATTACGCCAAAATTTTCTCAGAATCATAAGCTCATCTAATATAAACCATGCCTTTTCTTTTACTGTCTCATTTTAAAAAAATAACTTTTAAATTCAAATTTTTATCTAAAAATACTTGACTTCAATATATATATATATATTCAAATTCATATAATGTAATCATAAATTTTGCATTTCTGATTAGAATTAATACGCATAATAATAACTAAATTATTTTCAACTTTTGTTTGCTCCAATCAAAAAAAAAAAAAAAAAAACGAGAAAAGAAAAAGAAAAGTCTTTCACTTTATAGTAACCATCTCACTTCGTGGGCTTTTCGTTTTGTAGAGCTTAGATTCTGAGAAAAAGACTGCAAGGAAAAAAAAACAGACAAACAAAGATAAGAATCGTTTTTAAAATATGAAAATTTTTTTTAAAAAAAACTATAAAATACCAATAAAATGATACCAAGGATTATTGTTTGAACCGAGATGAAATAATTCGATTATCAAGAAATAAATTGATAATTTCAGGGGAAAAAAATTAAAAAAAAATAAAAGACAAATTGAGCGTCCAGCGCAGATGAAGGCACATTATTTTCGACATGTTCTGATGATTAACTGGACAGTAGTGATAGGATAAGGATAGTGAAGATAATCATATCATAACGGTGATAATGGCAACACTACGAAAAGAGAAGGCACATTTTATAGAAAGCACTTTTTTTTCTTTTACTTGTGGATGGAAGGGGAAGAAGAGGAAAAAGAATTAATATAATGAATAATTATTGATAAAAATAAATAGAAAAACAGTGCTAACAAATAACTGGTAGAAAAATAAATGAAAAAGAAACAATTTAGCAACAAAATTCCAAAAAAAAAAAAAAAAAAAATTCAATGAAGTCAAAGTTTGAATAAAATATCTGAATTTGTAACAGAAATTGCAAGAAATGAAAACAAAAAATGGATGTTCCAGAAAAAAACTTCCGGAAAAAGCGATAATGGCACATATTTTCAATGGATTATCAAATTGATAGAAATGGCAACACGATCGGTTGAAATAGCAGCAAAAAATAAAATTACACTGCAAAAAAACTTTTTGCAGGGATATATCCTAATATAAAATAAATTTAAAACATACCCGCCATAGCAAAAAAAAAAAAAAGAAAAAAGGAATTCCTAAAATTTTATAATCTATTATATAACAACTGAAAATTTGAATAAATTTCCCACATTAGAGAAAAAATAAAAAAGGATGAAGTAAAAAAATAAAATACCCAATCATCTTATAACCTTAAAATTTTATCATATTACAAAATGTACAAGCAAAATATAGCATTTTTTTTTTTTTTTTTTTTTTTTAAAGATGTTAAATATGAAAAAAAAAACCAGAAACTAACGGAACAAATGAAAAAAGGTTAAAAAGCAAACAAATAGAGCAGTAATATTTTGAAAAAAAAAAAAAAATTAATTAATTAAAATTCCAAACGTGAAACTGAAAATAGAACTGAATTAAACTGATAAACAACTCTGTGCCTCCATAAGAAGTTATTTTCAGCAATGATAAACACATGTGACTCTCTTTTTTTTCGCTCAAAATTTTCAAATTTCGCTCTCCTCTTCTTGCTCATTGTCAAGCTTAATTGTTGGTTTATCAGCGCCCAAGCGTAGCAAAAAATCATCGCTGCTTAATGCGCTTGTTATGTCCGTACCCTTCAATTAGATGCTTCTTAAAAAAAAAAAAATTTTTTTTCAGGACGAAAAAAACAAGAAAGAAAAGTTGAAATAATATTTTACAAACTTTTAAATGTAAATATATAAAATATTCCATCATTTCTCTTTTTTTTTTCACTGATAATTCATAAATCATCTGATTTTATCATAATAATTAAAGTTTGAAAAAGTTGTAATGACCAATGCTTACTACTAGTAACTACATGATGATAAACTATTACAGTAATTTATTGCAGTCTATTACACTCACAGCCTATTTTAATATTTTTTTCTATTTTAAACTATTACAGTCCGTTACAGTAAATTGCACGAAATTTCTTGATTAATCAACTGAAAAAGGTAATTTCATTAAAGTAGTAATAATAATAATAATAATTATTATTACTATTATTGCTACTACTTGTATTACTATTATTATTGGTATACGACAACCATAACATGAATATCTAAATACCATTATCATAATTTTCCAATAATTAATTTAATTAACAAAAGAAAAGGATATAAGCATATATACATGTTAAAGTAAAAAGAATAATACTTACCAAAGCATTAGCAATATGTGTTTTCTTATGGCGTAATAAATTATCTTTTCTGTTGAACCTGAAGTAAACAAAAAGCAAAAAGTATCAAATTTGAATATCAATTAATCTGTTGTAACAAGATGAACAATAATGTCAAAAAATATTTGATATATCAAATCAAATTCAAAGCTAACTTGCATATCGGTCCTATAAAAAGATTTTATAGTTTTATGTCATTTCACGTTTTATTTATTCCTAAATGTCACGAAAAAAAAAACAAAAAAACTATTCCACATGTATGTTATTACATTGATATATGTTGATATATTAGAATATTTTAGGAGTTTCAGAAAATTTAACATCAAATTTTTAGAAATCTTAGAATGGCCAGAAAATATCGTCCATTTTAACCTTTGTTTCAGCATATGGGTATATATACATACCTTTCTGATACCTTTTGCCGTATATTTTACTTTTAGAAAAAGAAAAAATTAAGCAAAAAAATCTTTCTGATACCTTTTGCCACAGAATGGACAACAATGAGGCCGTAATCCGGTATGTATAAATTGATGCTTCTTCAATAAAAATTTATTTGCAAATCGCTTATGACAACTGGTATGTTCACATGTGAATGGTTTCTCTGCTAAAAATAAAAAGAAGGAATTTGAAATTTGTAACAAAAAAAGTTTGAAATCTATAGCAAAAGAAAAGAAAAGAAAATTCTTCCTGAGCAATTCCACATTTACACTTATCAATTATTGAAGGTTTAGACAATTATGAATTATTAGAAACCAATGCATGCAATGTTTACAGATTAACTATGGAAATTACATTTCAGGCAAATTAATATAAATTGTTTTTCTAAAATTTCTTTTTTTTCTGAAATCAAATTTTGAACTGTTCAAAAAAAAAAAAAATTGTACTCGACTGAAATATTGTGTAAACTTAATATTCATGAAAAAACACTTTTTTTTTTTCGAGTAGAAAAACTATTGGATGTGACTTCTCAGACTTTTAAATCCATTTTTTTTTACCTTTCTCATTTAATACTTTTTGCATTTTCAAATAAATTAAAATTAATATAAGATAATAACCGAGATCAGCAGCAGTATACGTGGTATCATCTACATTATTGGATGAATCGCTTGGTGAAGGACTTGATTCATTTGAATTCTTTTCAGCCAATTCAATACTTCCATCTTCTAAACTATCACCAAATTCCGTTACGGAATCGTTCTTGGAACTGAAAAAAAAAAGAGGTGAAAATCGTTCCTCTATTTAATTTTCAAGTTAAAAAAAAAGCAATAATTTATCTAGCGCAAATCAAAGATATTTTTCTTACATTAAAATCACTTATAATCTGAAAGAAACCAAAAATAATCCATTGAAACACTCCCATTTAGCTACCCAAAAATTTAAGTTTTCGATTAATATACAAAAAAATTAGTATTAACTTTATATAATTTTATGTTTCATACTTTTTTAAAGTGCAAATAATGACCAATGAATACAGAGCACTCAATTATCAAGTCAATTAAACGAAAACAATGCCAAATGTATTTATTAACCGGATATGACCTTGGGATTTTTAAGTGGAAAAGAAAAACGTAGGGATGAGATGATGCGGAGAAAAGAAAATTTTATCATCTTAATTAATCAGACATTTCAGAAAGAAAGGAAAAAAAGCACCACTAATACATTACTGATAAAAATCATTAGTTGTCCAACAATTTCACCAAATTTATGATCTTAACCACTGAATGATACAATATAATGATCATTAGCCTAGTTAACTATTTTCACTAATTGTCGATTTTATCAATTTAAACTTATTTATTATGTGACACTTTACAACTAAGCAACACTGTCAAATATAATTAATTAATAATCAATTTATAGTAATTACACCTTATTTTCTATTTTAATAATAGCAAAGAAAAAAAATTGAATATCAATTTTCGAAAAAAAAATCACCGAAGTATAATTATTTTATTTCATTATTTTACTTTTTGAATTCTTAAAAGTTTATATAATAATCATAATTATAGTACATATAAAAAAAAATAATTCATTAATTTTTTTGAAAAAAAAAAAGGAAAGAAGAAATCAGAGGAAAAAAGAATGAAAATATGAGTGGGACAGAGAGAATGGGGAGGACATAAAGAGAAAGAGAGAGGGAAGAAGAGAAAGAGAGAAGGGAAAAGAAAGAAAAAGAAGGCACATTTTATATAAGTATAAAAGAAATTAATGAACAAATAGGTTGAAAAATGAAGATACTTCCCCATTTATTCTCTTTAAACACTTTATCAACTGATAGATGACAAGGTCAAAAGTTCCTCAGACTAACATTATCAAATATGTTTGATTTGTGCTGTAATAACTCTATCATTCATTTATTTCCCGCATTTTCTTAACTTCAACTTTTTCTTCTTTTTACCTCCTTTTTTTTACAGCAGTATAAAATATATGGTACATAAATGATTTATAAAATAATTTTGCTACAAATATACATGAAATAGAAGTAAGATGCAAATAAAAGTAATATAATGAGATGAGTAAAATACATAAGTATAATAAAATAAATTTAATTTTGTAAAATTTTTATAAATTAAAATTCCTTCACAACAATTTTTATTTTACATAACTGACAGAGAGAAAATTTGATAAAGGCATTACTGAGAATTGGAAACTAATAAATAAAAGTGAAAATTTAACTAGGATGAAGTTTTATTACTTCTTGAAATTATAATTAATTTCAAACAAATAACCATTTAAATAATGCGGTCCAACATTTTAATGCAATAAAAAAGAGCCAAAATTTTTTTAGTTTCTTTTCGTTTTTTTAAATAAAAATTTCTGTCATTTTACGTTAAAAGAATATTGTTTTGAAGAACTTTTTCTTTCATTTTTTTTCTTTTTAAAAAGGGAAGTTTTAATATAATTCTAAATACTACATACAAAAAAAAAATCCTTTTTCTGATATATTGCAGAATGATGTAATAATTGCACCTCAGTTACGGCAAATGAGATACATTAATTCATTATTTCCATCCATTTTATTAAAAAAAAGAAAGAAAAAAAATGGAAGAAGAGTGGTGTGAAGGAAGAGAGAGAAAAGAAAATAGAAGGGAATGAATTGTAAAATTGAACGAAGTACATTTAAGTAAATTATATATAAGTGATTTTGTTTCAATAGAAATACTCAAAATTTATGGTCATAAAACTAATAAATTCTCAATTAATAACCAAGAATGACATCTTAAATTTAGTAATAATCAGAAATGATAATTTAAAAGAATTTAACCAAAATAACCGCGAGATTTCGTCGTTTTTCTCTCCTTCTTTTTTTAAATTATTATCATAATCTAAGACAATTCATCCAGTTTCTATCTCTTTCGTTTTCGTTTTCTTCTCTAGCGTTTCATTTACCTCCCATTAAAATGAAAAAATCAATTTGTAACTTTCAGTAGTAATTATATCATATTATGAAATTAAAAATTATATCGATTGTATACTTATTAAAATATTCCAATAATTCACAGCTGATAAATAAAATGTTTTGAAGTAAAATAAGAGAGGAAGAGAGAGAGATAATTTGAAGACAGGTAATCTATTATTTTAAGGGATTAAAAATGTAGAATAGCTGAAAAGAAAAAATGATAATTTAATCAAATTAAACATTCAACATTTAATGCTTCATTTCCAAATTTAAAAGTATGATCGTCCTCTTCCGCCATTTTCTTCCCAATTCAATAAAAAAAAAGCCAAATATTGAACAGAATAGAATTTACAATTCGAATCACGAACTTTTGCTTTTTCTTTTTCCTTATTTTTTTTTTTTTAAAGAAAGTGAATTTTGAAACAATATGTAAATTATAAATTTTCAATAATAATTTGATGAAATATGGAACTGATATCTTTTAGAGTTAAAAATTACACATAACAAACTGATAGGGAGAAGTGAAATCTGAAAATTTTTTTAAAATTGATGTTATGGAAAACTTTATTTAATACTGTTTAAAAACTACAAAAAAAGAAGGGAGGAAGGTTATTCAATTTCGAAATAATGGAAATTGACATTCTGTTACAAAAGTTTTTGGAGGAAATTACGGTAGTAACAAAAAAAAAAAAAAAAAAAAAAGAAAACTAATAAAGGACGTAGAGAATACGAGGACAGAAGGATGAGGAAGAGGAGGAGGAGAATGAGGATGTAGAGAATGAAGAAGAGGAGCAACAAGAGGAGAAGGAGGAGGAGGAGATGAAGGAAGAAGAGGAGGTATATGGTATGTAACAGGATTTTCAGGAATGTTGTCGGAACATCATTTTTCAAAAACTTTTCACCAATATACAGACATACACAGACGAAATGAGTTTTAATAGAATTTTTGAGTGTAAACTACGGTAGTTTCGCGCATTATAAATAATCTAATTTATAAGTCTTCCTATAAATGTAGCAATTAATTATGTCAATAAAAGTAATAAAATATTTATTAAAGAAGTGATAAGTAATAATAATTATTGTTGACAGTAGTATTAGTATAAATAAGGAAAATAACGATAGTAATTAGTATACAAGCAATTATAATATTAATATTAATATGATAATATAAAAATGTTATTACTGTGTTGATATTATATTATAATCAACAAATAGTACAAATAAATTACTATAATATTAATGACAGAAAAAGTCAATGCAATCGAACTAAATTATAGGATGAATATCACCAATTTATGATATCTTTCATCAATATTGTAATATATCATAGAAGAAAGAGAGGGAGAAAGAGAGAGAGGAAAAAAGAGAATAAGCTAGTTTTCAGATCAATTCTCTTTCTTTTTCTTTTTTTTCCTCCCTTCATTATCCCTCTATCTCCACCATTGGTATTCCTTATATCATTCATTTGTGATTTCAACTCTCACATTTTTTTCTATTTAAATTATTCTTGTAATCATATAATCCATAGTTTCTCTAAAATATTCTATTACTACAATGAATTTTTGATTGAATACAAGTAATTAATTTGATTTTTTTTGCTAAAACATTTTTTTCTCATAAATTTCTTCCTACCACTACCTTTTCCTAAATATTTTACATTATTTCAACTTTTTCTTTTTTTCTTAAAAAAACAGTATTATACAAATAACAATAGCAGATACTGATAAGAAGAAATGATAATGATAATTAGCTAACAACCTAATAAACGATAAAATAAAAATAACAAAAGAATAAAAATAAAAAGTTGCTATGACAATATGGTTTTATCAATAATGATATGATGGAGTTGTTAGGATATAGTAAGTTAGGATATAGTAAGTCTATTAACTATATATAGCGATATTTACAATTATAAAAATAATAATAAAGATGTAAATACTGTAGCAATAATATTAGGAACCAAAAGACGGACAAAATTTGTAAACTTCATTAAATTATTGAAAATTTTAATTTCACAAAATAGGAATGGCCGTTCATTTTGTAAGGTAAGCGATATTAAACGAACAATCGTGCGGTCGAAACGAGCTGCTTAGAATTTCTTCTCTTTTTTCTTTTTTTTTTTTTCAATTTTAAAACAATCTGCTACTGCTCCTCCCAAGGGTAATCACATTAATCGCGAAAAATGAAATTGCAAACAATCTTTAAATATTTTCTGCAGCAGAACAAAAACACACAAAGTAATAATTAATATAATAATAATAATAATAATAATAATCAATAATAATAATAATAATAATAATAATAATAATAATAATAATAATAATAATAATAATAATAATAATAATAATAATAATAATATAATAATAATAATAATAATAATAATAATAATAATAATAATAATAATAATAATAATAATAATAATAATAATAATAATAATAATAATAATAATAATAATAATAATAATAATAATAATAATAATAATAATAATAATAATAATAATAATAATAATAATAATAATAATAATAATAATAATAATAATAATAATAATAATAATAATAATAATAATAATAATAATAATAATAATAATAATAATAATAATAATAATAATAATAATAATAATAATAATAATAATAATAATAATAATAATAATAATAATAATAACAATAATAATAATAATAATGATGACAATAATAATGAAAAATTGCAGAAATCAGTCATTATGTTAAAAATTATTTAATTAAAATGAATTTTATGTCATATAATTCGTTAGTTACTTAGCGTATCCTTCTGCTGTCCTTTTTTTTTCCAAATATCTTAGAAAAATTCGCGGAAAAGCAATAATTAAATGTTGTAAGTGAGAAAAATTGGAACAACTAACATTTCCATCCCGCAAAAAGAAATATGAGTAGTAATAATTATAAATACAAAATATAGAATTTTAGGATTACAAAAAAATAAATCATAAGGTGAAAAACATGGAAGGAGAGAGATAGAGAGAGTAAGAGACAGAGGAAAAGGATCGTAGTGAAGATTAGAAAAAAAACAAGAGTCAAGACGACGACCACTAATAGACAATGAGAGACACAGAAATACAAGGTAAAAAAAAAAAAAAAAGACAGCGGAAAGAAATGAATGATGTGCGAATTGATTAACAGAAGAATAATCATCTCTCATAATCATAATTATGATTACAATCGTAATCATAAAATTAAAATTACCCATTACCATTTAGATATTAAATAATATTTTTTTTTTGTTTTCTCTCTCATACTTGAAATGGTTGAAGAGAGGAAGAGAGGGGAAGGGAAAAAGAGGTAAAAACCGGAACAGAGAAATGTAAAGTGTGATAAAATACTTAACTTACCGATGATCATTTTGCATCGTTTTGTTGATTGATGGAAAGATTGATGAGGGTGACGAAATAGCAGTTACCGCCGCCGCTGCAGCAGCAGCACCGGACATTGTACGAAGCATACTGACATATGCAACCGGATCAATCATTTGTGTATGCCAAATAGCCTTAGCCGGTGGTGTTAATTGTTCCGGTGGTACTACTAAGCTTGCAGTAGTAGTAGTAATGGTAATGGATGATGATAATGATGATGATAATGGTAATAATGATGATGATGATGATGATGAGCAAGATGATGATGATGATGATGAGATTGTTGATGTGATTAATCCGGAACACATGGATATACCAGATGATCCATTAGCTAATATTGCAGCTGCAGCAGCTTCTTTTTCTTTTTGACGACTAGCTAATTTACGAATCATAGCATCAAGACGATTACCACTACCATCACGTTTACGTCGATTATAATTATTGGTGGTGCTAGCTATGGTAGTGGTCGTACTAGTACTATCCTGATTACTACCACCATTGCTTAGGCTACCATTATCATTTAATGCAAGTGTACTATCAAGCATACTATTATTTAAACCAATAATACTTTGATTATTTTCCGGATAAGGTGAAGCAGGTGATGCCATCGTTGTTGGAATTAATGATGAACATGGTGTACTACTTATTGAACTTGTTGATGCTGGTAATTCTGGTGATGATGTAGAGGCATTGGTGGCTGATTTGAAGCTTGATTTTGGTGATGTTAAACAATAACCAGATGATGATTGATCATGAAGGTCACAATCTGGCTGTCTCTCACATATTGTTTGTACACCACTGTAATAAATTAAATGTTTATTATTAAATGAATATCTGATGAGGAAAAAAATTCGAAGAGAAATTGAAAATTTGTAAAATTATCAGTTACACTTTAATTTTAATTTACAAACAGATATGCTTATGAATAGATGAAAAGTTCAAGTATTAGAAGTAGCCTTTTAAACAGATCTAATTTTGAAGATTGGGTGATTGCGTCTCTAGCAATATGATAATTTCATCTAAAAATTTAAAAAATCGGTTGTAAAAAATAAGGTAAAAAAGAGGAGAGAGGAGAAAAAATACCTATCAGCTTGGTTTATTGATGGTTCATCAACGCGTCCGTTGAGAGCATCCTGGATAAACCGTTTCAGTTGGCGGATTTCTCGCAACAGCTCACTTTTCGAATCATCCTTGTCGGTAATTAGCTGAAGCGGTAAGATATTCAGATCAGCGGCGACAAATACCGGTGACTGTTCTGAACCGGTAATCCGGTCGTACAAGTACAACAGATCACTGTCGTTATCAACATGATCATCGGGATCAGTTGTGTCTGCCGGATATGTGGCCGTAGCCATTTCCGGTAATGATATGGAAGGTAAAAGCTCGGTAAGCGTTGCACGAGCCATTGATCGGGCGCTTTTTGAAAAGTAATTGTGGAGAAGCGCCTTTAATTGCTCCGGTAACAGGCTATGGCGGTAATTGTGAATAAAACAGAGGAGCGAATTGACAACAATGGGCCGATCCATTTACAGATTGATGATGATCGAGAGGTGATGGAGGTGGAGGGGGAGGACAGGGGGCAGGTTGACAGCAGAGAGGACACACAAGAGGGGAGGAGGAGGAGGAGGGGGTTCGCTCGTCACAGGGAGGGAACGATGGCGAGGCGAGAGGCAAGCAACTTGGTGTAATGTCTTCTCTCGGGACGACCGACTGATGGGCACAACTCCGTTCCGTTATCGCCACCCATCCATCCATCCAACCCCCCCAACTCAAACTCGTTATCAGAGGGAAAGCAAGGAGAGGGGGAGAGGGAAGGGGGCACACACAACGAGGGGAGGAGGAAAACTGTGCCCAACCCACCCTCCCTACAAATGCACACACACACACACACACGGATACGGACATGGACACGCAATACACGTACCTCGCTATCATCCTTTCGTGCACTTCTCAAAAGGTCGGTCACAACTCAACCAAACGGTCACCATTTCTCCCAAAGCAGTTAAAACTATATGTCTTTCCAATCTCAGCCGTACTGTCCATCATTGGAACATGACGTCTTTCTACCCCCTCTCCTCTCCTCCCGTAAGCTTCCTCTCCCTCCCTCTACTTCTCCTCTACTATTCCATCTTCCCTCTCTTTCATCACTTATTGGCAGCTCCCTCCTCCTCTTTTTTTTTGCTAGCCTTTGAAGCTATCTAACTTATACCAAAAATGAAACAAAAGAAGAAGGAAAACAAGAAAACGAAAGAGAGAAAATAATGAATGTATGGCAGTGACATATACGAAAAAAAAGAGATGAAGAAACATGCCAGAAGTCTCATTTGTGATGATCACATAATGATCACATCATCATCCCTCATCATTCCTTAGGAAGGAATTCATCAATTTTCATTCATTCCTCTCTTCACCTCTTCTCTTTCATTCTCTTTCCTCCATTACCGTAATCCTCGGTCAGAGTTTTCGCATTTTATACAAAAAAAAAAAAACACACTTCGTTTCATCTCACTGTTTTTTTTTTTCTCACACACAATCCCCTTTCTTCCTATTATTACTTTTATTATTATTTAGTTTATATTATTATTACTACTTTTATTATCATTACCATTGCTATTTTAATTAATTAATTAATTATTATTAGTATTATTATTTATTATATACTTGTTTATTATTATTATTCCTGCTCTTATTATCATTACAATAATTACAATAATAATTATTACTATCATTATTAACTATAAACACTTTCTTCCTTTTTCTTAATATTTGCAAAAAAAAGTGAAACTATCAACTTATAATTAAAGTTATAAATTAATCATTTCCCAATTATCATTACTATTACTATTATTGTTACTATTATTACTATCAGTAATTTAAACTATACAATTAAAAGTTAAAAAGATGAAGAAAGAAGAGGGAAAGGATGAAAGAGAACATTCGATATGCAAATGTACCATCCATATGGCTACCACCAACACTGTCATCACCTCATTCTTCTTGCTTCCTATCGCAACCATAGTTTTGCTGCTGATAACACCCTATCATCGGCTCTATTCATGTATGTTATAGCTATGTGGTATGTGTATATGCGTGTCTACTACTACTACTATTATTATTATTACTACAATAATAATTCTTAACGAGCATTACTTATAATTAGTAAAGGAAGCGTAATCCGCGGTAAAGATGTCAATAATTTATCTATACTATCAACTAAGAGATATGCAATTATAGCCTAAATCAACAATGGTATACTATTTGTAGGATCTCAAATGATATGATAGATTGCATCGCATTACTTACATTTTCTTTCCAATCAATTCTTCATTCGTTCATCATTTTTCCCCTCCTCCTCCTCCTCCTTTCTTGCAATTATTATTATTTTTTTTTTTTTGTATTTTACATTACACCTGCATAATTTGCATTATTATTATTATTGTTAATACTAATTATTATTAATAACCAATTAATTATTAATACACAAACACAAATATTTAAGAGTTATAAAGATTTTATTGGGTTAAAATAAGTTGTAAATTATATACACATATATGTATATAATTAGCAATATTATTATTTTATAATACATAAAAAGTTTGTTAGCATAAAAAATGGTTTTACTTTATATTTGTTATAATTACATTTTTTAAGCTTATATAGGAATGATCAAAATTGTTTGTTTAAAATGTTTGTTTATTCAATGATAATGTAACAAAACTGACCGTAATAGCCATTCAAACTTGAAGTAATTTTTTCCTCTTTTTTTTCTCTTCCTATTATTTTCTTTTAACTAAATTTACAACTATCTGAACGATAATTTAATCATTTAGCTAAATTAGTCGAAGCACATCCAATATTATGTAATCTAAAGTGTATTATAATTTACAAATCTATTTTTCTTCCTAAATTCCTTTTAATGGTTATTAATTAATAATCACTAGTAGTAATAGTTATACATACAGTAACAACAATAATATAATGATAATGACAATGATAATAGTAATAATAATAAATAGTAGTAATACAAGTTACAAACACGCAAATATACCGAAATTTTTAATTAAAGATTTTTATGTCTGGAAAATACTTTCAAATTGTCTGGAAAATACTTTCAAATCAATCTATTTGTTCCAAAAAATTTAAGATTTTTGATAAGCCAAAAATTGATAATTCCATTTTTTTTATTTGCAAAAATTTGACTTTTCCATTTATAATTTGATATTACATTTACAATTAAATGAATAAATTATATCTAATATACGCACACATCTATAAAACTGTGAATTCTTATTTTTTGATTTTTGCTTATTTATATAATCAGTTTTTTTTTCCTTTTTTTAAATTTATTTTTTGTTATTCTTACTCCCACAGTTTCTCATTTACAAAAAAATATTCATTCCTTTTTCATCATTTTTCAAATAATATATCGTACTGAAATGGCTGAAAATTTGCATCAGAATACGAATGTTAATTGGCATTAGAACATTTCATATGCTATCATTTCAATAATATTTGAATATTTTCAAAAACTTTTGCAAGCTTACATAAAGATTAGGAGAGAGAGAGAGAGAGAGAGAGAGAGAGAGAGAGAGAAAGTAAATTGTAATCAAAAAATAAAATAAAAAAATTCGCTTTTTTAAAATAAAAAAATAAAAACAAATAGTAAATAGAAAAATTAAAAAAAAAAACCAAAAAAATATCGAAAGCATAATTTATTTTGTTTACAAAATGGTAAAAATTATATGGGAAAAAAAATGAAAAAGGATAAATAGTAATCACTAAGCAAATAGATTTGGATATAAAAATGGTATTATTAGACTGAAAAGCATATATTTATTCTGAACAAAAAAATAGAAAAAAAATGAAGCTATTGTGTCATATACGTATGTTTATTTGAAGATTTAATTAGTTTAAATTTTAAAATTGAATCAAGTAATGAATTCTTATAAGTCATAAATACTGTATCTATTTATAAGTACCACTTCTCAATTTTCCAACTCAGTTCATGTTTTATTTTTTCTCCACAGCAATAAAATATCTTCATTTAACAATTTCAATTTATCAAAAAATCTAGCACTAAAAGAAATTACCAAAAAAAAAAAAAAAATTTTTTTTTCATCCATCATTCAAATTTGCTAAAATAAAACATTTTTAATTGGAAATGTTTGAAACAAATTTCATTACGAATTAATAATTATTAAATTTAGTAATAATAATGAATGATAAACGTTATATCTGTAGCAAATAATCGTTAAAAATTGGAATTTTATAATCAATAACATAATTGGTTTTTTCTTTCTTCATCCATTAAATTTCAGATAAAAAATTTTCCCTTTATATTTAAAAGATAAATGACAAATTGATTGTAATTGACAATTCTTAACAATAATTCAATCAGTTAAAAGGATGACAAGCATGTATAATTGATGATGACATAAAAGAGCAAAAAAAAAAACATTAGCAGCTTCTTCCAGTATTTCATTTATCATTTCATTGAAGGAAAAAAAATGATGAAAATTGTTACTTAATTTAAATTCGAGGTTCAAATTTTACATTGAAAAAAAGTTCTAATAAAAATTTTCATTTAATTTTTATTTTTTTATGCAATATTATACTATTCACATATTTTGTTAAACAACAAAAAAGGGAAAAAAACATGGAATTATTACTATCATACATAATGATTGAAATATTCACATAAATATTTTAAGTATTAAATTCCAAATTACAGTACATATGTATCTATTTTCGACTACAGTAACTCTCAACAGAGGATAAGTTATTCATTTTAATTGTTCGTTTCGGCAACAATTTCCTCAATAATTTTAGCCGTATTTACCAATACATGCATACATACATATACACACATACATACATACACATGCGCATACGCAAAACCAAACATACATACATGCACGCATACATACTTAAGCATATTTATTGTTGTTTATTTGTTTTAACAGATAATCTTCATGGAATTTAAATAATTGCAAAATTCTAATGAATATTGTTATATTAAAGTCAAAATGAAAACTTTTCTCTTTTTAAGAAAAAATAAAATCATTTCACCAAAATATTTTAATCTTAAAAATAGCATTAAAAAAACAAATGATTTTTTTTTTCAAAAAACAAAGAAAAGAAACATGAAATGAAAATGAAAATAGCAATAGAAATGAAAGACAATGTACAATATTTTCATTTATTTTATAAAGAAATGAAAATGGAATTTCTCATTTTGAAAATAAATAAATTTTTACGTATTGAAGTAAAAGGTGAAACAATTTGTTGTTAAATGTGTATGTAATTACTATCATTCTTGTCGATTGTCTTTTATCATTAATCAATCTTTCGCCACAATTTTCAAAAATTTCCCATTTTCGTAAAAAGAAAAAAAAGAAAGAATAGA